TCGAGTTGGCCCCGACTCATAGCGACCCCTCCTTGGGTTTCCGAGGCAGTATCACTACGGAAGTAGGATTGCCCAACCTTCCTTCCGAGTAGTGGCCGGTGGGTTTGAACCGCCAGCCTTCTGGTTAGCAGTCAAGTGCTTTAGCCACTATGCTACCAGAGCTCCTTTTTAGGATCCACTGTAAAGGTAAAGTAAACACAGGCAAGTTAGACTAGCCATCTTTGAAGTTATTTGAGTATGTTCATCCAAGAGGAATAAGAAGATTTAGAGAATGGCTTTTAAACTGACCAAGGAAAATAATCCTGGGATACCTCATCAGTATTTTCCCTGTACATTTCTTCTGCCATTTGCTATGCTTTACAGTTTTCAAATAGGAGGCCTAGTGGCACAAAGATTAAGAGCTCAGCTATTAACTGAAAGGATGGCAGTTTGAACCCACCAAGTGGTCTGCCAGGGAGAGAGACCTGACAATCAGCTTCCCTAAAAATTACAGCCAAGAAAACCCTGAGAGCAGTTCTACTCTGTCACATGGAGTCACTATGAATTGGAATCATCTCAACAGCACCCAACAACAAGAGTTTTAAAAGTGTTTTCACGAACATTATCTCATTTGAGTCTCACAAATAATCCTGAGAATGGGCTAGCAGGTACTACACGTTTACACAGGCTAAATAAGGGATCCACTGTAAAGATAAAGTAAACACAGGTCTTAGCACTTCTAGTACAGGGTCTTTTTCACTAAACCATTATTACTTAGCTCGTGTGCATAGTGGTTCACTTACATTGAAGGTTGTTACCTTCACTTGGTTTAGTCTCACAACAGGTATATGAGGGTCAGGTGGAGTGTTCATATTAACAAAGGTAAACCAAACCCACTGCCATTGAGTTGATTCTGACTCATAGCAACCCACAATGGATTTCTAAGGCTATAAATCTTTACAGAAGCAGATTGCTGCATCTTTCTAATGTGGAGCTGCTGGTGGGTTCAAACCACCATCCTCTTGGTAGTAGCCAAGTGCTACTACACTATACCACCAGAACTCCTTTAACAAAGGTAATGCCCATCATGTACAAGTATTCAAGGACAAGGCCACTTGGGAATTCTGAAAAATAAATTATTGTTCCTTACTGCTAACCTTAGAACATTTTATGTCTCCTCTATTTCCAGACCACACTCCAGACAGATGAGGTGAAGAATGTACCTTGTGGGACTAGGTAATGTACCAAGAAAAAGGTGTTAAGTCCATATAAGTAAGAAGAAGTAGTATTTGCTGGCTGCAGTAAGAGACAGGAAAAAAGGAGGCACCCCTTCCTGGTGGTTTATCAAATTTCCTAAACCCTAGCTCCCTATATTCCTTTCTCTCTCTCTCTCTCTCTCTTTTAATTGCGATTTGGGTGAAAGTTTACGGAGCAAATTGTTTTCCATTCAACAATCTGTTTTGGAACATACACTGCAGTCCCCAATAACAGCATTCTTCCCACTTCCTCCCTATACCCACCCCTTCCCTTCGTTCTTCCTTCCCATCTACTCCCACTTTCCTAGCTCTATCCCTGGGCAAACGCTGTCCTCTTGATCCCGTATGCTTGATTGTTCTAATAAACATGTACTCTCCTGATATTGCTATTCACCTTATAGGCCTGTCTGTTATTTGGCTGCCAGTTGAGTCACAGGGGTTAAGTTGAAGGCTACGTAAGGGCCATAGTCTTAGGGTTCCACCATTTGGATGAGACTAGTAAGCCTGATCTTTTTTGTGATGTTGAATTTTGTTCCATGATTTGCCCCCAATCTGTCTGGGATCTCTTAGCTCCTATATTCTGATTTGACTAAGTGGCAGAGTACAATAAAGAAAAGTAGAGGGCCTTGAATGCCATGATAAGAAGTTTGGACTTAACCACTGGGACGAGTGAGGATCCATTAAAGCAGATAAATGACATGGTAGAGCAGTGCTTTAAGAAAATACCTTTAGGTTAACTAACTATGGAGAACATTTAAAGGTAGGAGGAGACCGTAAGGGCAGGAGATTTAAAGAGAACATGCTTGTAGTGGTTCATTTGAAAAATAAAAAGGGTCTTAACTGGGATAGAGTAACAAGGTAAACAAAACCATGAGTAAACACAGAATTGGGACATCCCACAAGATAACTAGCCTGTGACAAGGGACAAGGTTGTAGATACTTCTTGGTAACAGCCAGCTACCCAGAGGGACCGAGTAGTTGAACCTGTGAGCTCAGGACCAAAGTTGCAGAGGACATCAAGCTCAATTAGCATAACATACTACACAAAACATTGTTCCACCTCCTACTTTGGCGAGTAGCGACTGGGATCTTAAAAGCTATTAAGCAGCCATCTAGATGCAATGACGGGTCTCTCCTCGTCCAGACCAAAGAAGAATGAAGAAAACCAAAGATTCATGGAAAGAATTAGTCCTAGCCACTGGTACACCATCAATCCGCAGCCTATAGAGTATGAGACCAGAAGAATTAGATGATGCCCAGCTACCACTGTCAAACCACTTGGAGGGGGATCTATGTAGGAGATCCTGGATAAAGAGGGAGAACAATGTGGAACAAAAAATCATTTGGAAAAAAAAAAAAAGGAGGGGGGACCAGATTTGCTGGTCTGATAGAGCCTGGTGGAACCACTGAGACTATGGCCCCTAGCTGCCCTTCAGGTCTAGAATTGAACCCACACCTGTGGCTTCCAGCCAAACAAAAGACAGGCATATGAGTTGAACATTTACCTGAGATAGATACACTCCTTGGAGAGAACAATCATGGGAGAAAGAAGGGCTGCTTATGCACAGGGAGACAGCTCAGGGGGCAGGAGTGCATGGAGGGATGGACACTGGGAAGAGGTAACTGTCGAGAGGAAGTGGGAGGGGAGCTGTTGCATTGTGACAAATTGTAATCAATGTCATGAGACAAAGTGTATGTGAATTGCTGTATGGAAAGTGAATTTGCTCTGTAAATTTTGAGCCAAATCACAATTTAAAAAAAAAAAAAGATAACTAGCCTCATCTCTTCACAAAGACGTTTTATTGTCAGAGTCTGTTTTTCTTTTAGAAACTTCTGAAATTACTAGATTTATTGTGGTGTACTTGGATAAGAAAGAATCCTATGGATGAAAAGAGACTTAAGATACATAAATAAATGCAATGAACCCTCATTAGAACCTGGTACAAAAATCACAGCTATCTAGGATGCCACTGTTGGTCTCTCCTCTTCTGAAGCAAAGAAGAGTGAAGAAAACCAAAGATGCATGGAAACAATCCAAAGGACTAATGGATCATGAAAACCTCAGCCTCTATGACCCTGAGACCAAAGAACTAGATGGTACCTACTACCAATGCCAACCATTCAGAAAGGGATCAGAATTAGAGATGCTGAAGAGAGTGGTAGAAAAAAATGTGGAACAAAATTTAAAAACATAAAAAGACCAGGTTTATTGATTGGAAAGATACTGGTGAAACCCCTGAGACTGGCCCCTGATCATTCTTGTGGGCCTGGAATTGGACTTACTCCCGTGGCTTACCTCTCAGCCAGACAATAGACAGGCCTACGACCCAAACAACTCAAGAGAAATGCACTCCTTAGAACAATCAACCATGGGAGATCAGAAGGGCAACACTTGCACAGGAAGAAAGCTAGGGTGGTAGGAACCCATAGGTAAGAAGGACGCAGGGAAAGGGTAACCATGAGAGGAGATAAGAAGAGAGCTTTACATTGTGGGGATTGTAATCAATGTCACAAAACAAAATGTCTATGAACTGTTGAATGTAAAACAAATCAACTTTGTAAAATTTTACCCAAATAACAATAAAAAGTTTTAAAAAATAATAGCAGCTAGAAAAGGCATTATGGGGACAATTGGAGAAATTTAAGTAAAGATCAGGTATTAGATGTTAATGAGTTACTAACTTTCTTTAGTTTGAGAATGGTATTATGGTTATGTAGGAGAATGCCATTGTTCTTAAGTGATGCTTGCTAAATTATCAAGGTGTAAAGCATCAGAACTGCAGCTTATTTTGAAATATTTAGTAAAAATAAGGTAAGTCAATAACTAGAGTAAAATGTTAACAACTGTTGAATTATTCCTTCAGCTTTTATGTGTGTTTGAATTTTTTTTTTTATAATGAATATTTGGATTTGGGGAATAGTGTTGAAAACAGGGTGAGAAACATTGATCATGAAATTTTCCAATGGCTTTTTAAGTTCTGAGAACTACCTGCCTTGCTACAGTTTTGTTTCCTGCAATTAATTGCTTTAATCCAAAGGTTTATTTATTCAAAAAATACTAACTCTCTTCTTACTTGCACCCCAAAAGTCTCACTTTTATCTTTGTGGAAATATGTGCAGGAAGTGTGATTTCTCAGGAGGTTGTGTTCTTCATCTGACCTCTGAAGATCCTACTTGGAAATCTGAGTTGCTTTCTAACTTTCCATGAACTCTTCTCCTTTTCTCCCAAGTCACACATCTGATGCCATTATCTTAGGAGACTGCACTGTAGTCCAAGCCCATGAGTGATGTTTTTCTCCAATCTCTCTCTAATAGTGGTGGTGTGATGATCTACTTTGACAGAATTGAGGTGGTAAACTTCCTGGTGCCAAATGCAGGTAAATTTTTCCAGTTTCCCCTCCCCCACAGCCTACTCTCCCAGATTTCTACGTCTGAGAAAGTTTTGAGTCTTGCCTTTTCTTACATCTAAAGTTATTCCTTCCCTCCCTAGTGTATGACATAGTGAAGAACTACACTGCCGACTATGACAAGGCCCTCATCTTCAATAAGATCCACCATGAACTGAACCAGTTCTGCAGCGTGCATACACTTCAAGAGGTCTACATTGAGCTATTTGGTAAGAAAGTCTTTTCTGAGCCCACCATGCTTTGTATCCCTATTTCTCCTGACTGCCTACTTCTGAGCTGTGGGGTAGGAGGAATATTGCAGGATGGTTACTTAGGAACAGGAATCCAGTACTCAGGCACTAGTCACAAAGGGGATTCCTAGAAAATGTCAGTGACAATGGAAGAAGATCCATTAGATTGATTGAGCTTTGGGCACAGGTGTGATAGCAGAATAATCACTTCTGGCCTGAATCAGAGAACTGGAGTAGAAAGGTGTTCCCGCTGTCTGTTCCTAAAATGTCATTCTATAATTAACAAATAATTAATTTTAGAAGAACCTTAGAGATTATCCAGCCCAGCATCCTCATTTTTGGTAGGGATTGATGCCATAAGAGAGAAAGTGATTTTCCTGAATCACCAAGCTAGTTGGTAACAGAGCTAAGACTAGACCATCCTCTAGCTCTCACTCCAGTATTCTTTCCACCATACCACACTGATAAAGGGCACTCAGGGATGGGTGATGAGAATGGTATGGTCCATGTTTAATTCTAAAACTGGGGTGAGGACCATAGCTACTTACAGTCCATAGAATCTTTGTGATTAAAAAAAAACCTGTGTACCTGTTGCTCTGTAAGGATGAGTAAAAAAACACTTAAGACAAAAAGGATCTACATGGATAAATGGACGCATTTTGTCAAAGTCAACACAGCCTGACTTCACTGGAAAGAAACAGTTCAGTAACTCATAGTTCTTCTGTGGTAAATTGTTATGTTTACACTTGATGCTAGGAGTTTTATAGTAGCCAGTGCTAAAAGTAAATGAATTTTTCAACCTGTTATAACTATTTTCTACCTATTATAACTATTCTTCTTTAAAAAAATAATTTATTTTACTTTTCTGTTGTTGAGAATATACACAGCAAAACATATCCCAATTCAAGGTTCTACATGTACAATTCAGTGACATTAAGTAATGTCACAATTCTTCGAGTTGTGCAGCCATTCTCATCCTCACCCTCCTTTTCTGAGTTGTTCCTCCCCCATTAACATAAAATCACTGCCTCATAAGTTTCCTGTCTAATCTTCCAAGTTGGTGTCATCAGTTTGATCCCATATACATAGATCTTAAAACAGCGTATTCTCAAGGCAGACGTTCTTTACTAGTTAAGCTAAACTAATGTTTGGTTTTAAGAAAACTTCAGGTGACGTTTTTGGTTTAAGGTTTAAAGATTATCTTATGGCAGTAGTTTTAGGGGTTTTTCTTGCCCCCAGGCTCCAGAAAGTCTGGAGTCCATGAGAATTTAAAATTCTGTTCTGCACTTTCTCCCTTTGATCAGGATTCTTCTATAGGGTCTTTGATCAAAATACTCAGTAATGGCAGCCGGGCACCATCCAGATTACACCTGTTCTTGATATTAGGACAATGTTCTTTTCTAGGAATTCTCATAAAAAAAGACCCAAGTGAGAGCATTTTTTATACTAGATAAATGGAGCACTCATTGCATCACCAATAATGTTAGTTAAGTAAGCAGCCTTTTGCACTGTATGTAAGATTTAAGAAATCATCAGAATCCAGTCTGTGGAATCATTAAAATTCCTTGCATACTGATATGACAGTTGAAGAAAATATTGTTTTAAAATCTTAACAATGAAAGCATAGTGTTTCAGTTTCCTAGTGCCACTCTGACAGGAATATATACCACAAATGAGATGGCTTTAACAAACTAGTTTATTTATACAATTTTTTGGAGGCTAGAAGTCCGAGTTCAAAGTGCCGGGCTCTGGTATTGGTTTAATGACAGGTACATAGACCAGTGGAATAGAATTGAGAACCCAGAAATAGATCCATCGACCTATAGTCAGCTGATCTTTGGCAAAGGCCCAAAACCCATTAAATGGGGAAGAGAATGTTTGTTTAATAAATGGTGCTGGCAAAACTGGAGATCCATTTGTAGAAAAATGAAACAAGATCTGTACGTCACACCACACACAAAAACGAACTCCAGATGGATCAAAGACTTAAATGTGAAACCTAGAACTATACAGTTCCTCAAGGAAAATTTAGGATCAAATTTAAGGGCCCTAGAACATGGCATAAATAGCCTACCAAGCATAATTCAAAATGCACAAACAGCAGAAGAGAAACCAGATGATTGGGACCTTCTAAAGATTAAATTTTTATGTGCTTCCAAAGACTTCTCCAAAAGAGTCAAAAGAGAACCTACAGATTGGGAAAAAATATTTGGTAATAACATATCTGACAAGGGACTTACCTCTAGAATTTATAGAACACTCCAACACCTCAATAACAAAAAGACAAACAATCCAATTAAAAAATGGGCAGAAGACATGAATAGACACTTCACCAAGGAGGATATTCAAGTGGCCAACAAATATATGAAGAAATGCTCACGATCATTAGCTATTAGAGAGATGCAAATCAAAACAACAATGAGATACCATCTTGCTCCAGCACTAGTACATAAATTCAACAAGACAGAAAATAACAAATGCTGGCGAGGTTGTGGAGAGATTGGGACCCTCATACACTGCTGGTGGGACTGTAAAATGGTACAACCATTGTGGAAAGCAGTATGGCGATTCCTTCATAAGTTGGAATTAGAAATACCATTTGACCCAGCTATTCCATTACTAAGTATATACCCTAAAGAAGTGAGAGCCATGACAAGAACAGATATATGCACACCCATGTTCATCGCAGCACTATTTACAATAGCCAAAACATGGAAACAGCCTAGATGTCCATCAACTGAGGAATGGATAACCAAACTATGGTACATACACACAATGGAATACTATGCAACACTAAAGAATAATGTAGAATCTGCAAAACACCGCATAACGTGGATGAACTTGGAGGACATCATGCTGAGTGAAATAAGTCAATCACAAAAGGACAAATATTGTATTAGTCCGTTATTGTAAAAGTTAAGGAAAGGTTTATCTATAGAAGGAAATTTTCTTTGATGGTTACCGGCGGGGGAGGGGAGGGGAGGGACTGGTGTTAGATAGATAGAGATAGATATTGATTTGGGTGAAGAGAAAGGCAGCGTACCAAATGTGAGTGACCAATATGGCAGCATTGAGGATGAGAAAGACATAGAGAGGTACATGGGAAGTACAAACAACAAATATGAACCCATTTGCATATACAGTACTGAGTTCTCAGTGAAGGCAAACATGGGTATATGGATGGATAGATAGGTGGACAGGCTAAACGATTAGGTATGTCTATGAAATAGAGAGTGTGTCCAAGATCATATATAGGGTTGGCAGACAATTTCCTATAAGTTTGTGTGAATGATCAGAATCCCCAGGTGTATAGTAGAGCTGACAAGGAGCAAGGTTGCGGTCACTGCTTGGTCACAGCCAGCTACCCAGAGCAACCGAGTAGTTGATCCTGTGGGCTTGGGACCATAGTCACAGGGGACATCAAGCTCAATTGGCATAACATAATATACAAAACATTGTTCTACCCCCTACTTTGGCGAGTAGCGACTGGGATCTTAAAAGCTAGCAAGCTGCCATCTAGATGCAACGATGGGTCTCTCCTCGTCAAGAGCAAAGAAGAAAGAAGAAAACCAAAATTAATGGAAACAGTCAGTCTTCGCGACTGGTACACCATCCGATCTGCAATCTATACAACTATGAGACCAGAAGTACTAGATGGTGCCCGGCTACCACTCTCATCCACTTGGAAGGGATGTAGGAGATCCTGGATAGAGAGGGAGAACAATGTGGAACAAAACTCAAAATCATTTGGAGAGGAAAAAAAAAAAGATGGTTGGGACCAGGTTTGCTGGTCCAATGGAGCCTGGTAGAACCGCTGAGACTATGGCCCCTAGTTGCCCTTCAGGTCTGGAATTGAACCCACACCTGTGGTTTCCAGCCAAACAAAGTACAGGCATGTGAGTTAAACATTTACCTCAAGTAGACACACTCCCGGGAGAGAACAATCATGGGAGAAGGAAGGGCTGCTTATGCACAGGGAGACAGCTCAGGGGGCAGGAGAGTATGGAGGGATGGACACTGGGAAGTGGTAACTATGGGGAGGAAGTGGGAGGGGAGCTGTTGCATTGTGGTAAACTGTGGTCAATGACATGAGACAAAGTATATGTGAACTGCTGTATGGAAAGTGAATTTGCTCTGTAAATCTTCACCCAAATCACAATTTAAAAAAAAAAAAAAAAAAGTGCCAGGCTCTAGGGCTGGGTCAAAGCCCCTCAACCTTGGGCTTCAGCTCTGCTTTCTGCTTCTGACCCACTGAAGGTGGAGACTTCTTCATTCAGGCAGCAGCTGGCTGTTGAAGCTGAGTTGATAAATGAAAAGGCACAGTCCCGATATTACCAAACAACATGGCAGGCCACTAATTCAAGTCCAGAAAAAGTCCCAAGATTGGCAGGGCATGGCAGACTTGAACAATGACTTGGCTACATTCAGGGTTCAAGTGTACCAAAAAGCTGGAGACCATCCTCAGAGTTGCTTCTTATATACTGGAAGCAAACCACATCCCTAAAGCAGCTACTCACCTGCTCCCAGCAGATTCCACCATGGAGTTAATTACCAATCTCACCATGGGGAATAACTATATCCAGCTGCACAGCCACTCAACCAGGCCCAGCCAAGTTGACAACAACCTTAACTACCACACATTGTAATTAAGTAAGTTCATGATTTAGCTTTGTGGACTGTATCATTCAATCTCTATAGGCCTCAGTCTTGGCATCTATTAAAGGCAGGAGTTAGACTTGGTATTCCTCAGAGGCTCTTGCTTAGGCATAGGTGGCCAAGAATGGCCCCTTAAGGTCAATAGCAGCTGATAGGAAGGGAGGTGATTCAATTTAGAAGTCCCAACCTGGTTGCATTAAGTCTTTCTCAGTGCCCTTCTAGGATAGGATTAAGGATCTTGCAAGCAGAGGCAAGGACAAGAGCTATAAAACCCTGAGAAGGACCAAGCCAGAGAAGGCAGCTTTGATGTGGTGTTGCAGGATCACAGCTAGGGCAGAAGAGCAAACCAGCTAAGCTGTTCCTACAGTTGTCTCTGAAACAATGTACATGTAAATTCCAGACAAAGGAATTGGGACCAAAGCAAATAACGTATCAGAAGATTTGGGCTAGCTTCCAGAGCTGTGAATTGTAATTTTTTCCTTGTGTTTGATAGAGTTCCTAATGGAAACATTCTTCCTTGGAGCTCACAACATCAGAACCTGTTTTTCTTTTAGAAGCTTCTAAAATTTCTAGATTTAATGTGTTCAACTATTTTCAAAATACCTGACATAGCTATTCCACCTTCCTTCTTCCATGAAAACTGTCAGCTTTCCTTCTCTTTGGCTACAATCATCTAGGGAAAGGCTACTGCCTAATTCTGGAAATGTGCTAGAATTATTGTTTGTTCTTTTTTTAAAGCTCAGTTCCCTGTAGGGCAAGGTTGATATTAACCAATTTTCAACAAGAAGGATGCTTTCATCTTGAGGCCACAGGAAAAGGATACTCTTAACATCTAGATTGTATAGAGGGACTGTTTAGGCTTGCTCTTCCAGGGGTCTTTAGCTTTCTGGACTTGTATAAGCACACTACCTTGGGAGGACCTTTTGCCTTGAGCTGGTATTTTAGCTTATACTTCCCTCAACCCTGTCTGGAAAGTGTAATAATTCATTTTTCTGTGTCCTTCTTGATTCCAGATCAGATTGATGAAAATCTCAAACTAGCTTTGCAACAGGACCTAACCTCCATGGCTCCTGGGCTTGTCATCCAAGTAAGCATTGCCACCATGGGAAAGCTCCCTGATGAAGTTGCAGACCCTATTAAAAGAGATGTCCTTTTTGTGCATCACTCACCTTCCCATCAGTTGTTATTTTTATCCTTCTCCAGGCTGTGCGGGTGACAAAGCCCAATATACCTGAGGCAATCCGCAGAAACTATGAGTTGATGTGAGTATACCCTGTGCTTAAGCTATCACTACCACTCACTCATATCTCCCACCTCATCCCATCACAGAACTAAGCAAAGCTGTGCCAGGCTTTTATTTCCTTTCTTGAGTATTTGTTACAGCATATTGCACTGTAAAATGGAGCAGCCATGTCAGGCCAATCACCTGGGTTCCTTAACTGTGACTGAGAACCACAGGAGAAGCCCTTATGGAGCAGTGATGCTTTAAAAAGGGCCAGAGGGCCTTGTTTGTGTTTAATGGCTCATGCCAAAGGAGGAGATAGACAAAAGAGGATTAAGCGGACAGGCAGGTGTATTTTACTAAAGTAAATTATGTTTTATTTCCCACAAATGAGTTATTTTGGAGGAGAAGAAAAGCTACTATGTTAATGTTTGCAACAGATCAGCTTTTATCTGGGACATTGAACAGCCTTCCAGAAGAGAGTAAGAAATTGTAGTTTCTCTGTCTCCAGCAGATGGGTTTGATTTCTCTGGGGAACAGTGAGGTTCCTTTGAGGTTTTCACATAGCAATCTCACAGCTGCACACTTTTTTCCCTTCAGGGAAAGTGAGAAGACAAAGCTTCTCATTGCAGCCCAGAAACAGAAGGTGGTGGAGAAGGAAGCCGAGACAGAGCGGAAGAAGGCCCTCATTGGTCTGAATATGGTTCTGTGATCTCTTTTTCAGGGCAGAAGGACTAGGGATGGTGGGAAGATACAAGGAAGGTTCAGGCATGGTTAAATCACATAGTTCTCCAAAACCTTTTTACCACACCACAGGAGTGGCATTCATACTCCAAGAAGCAAAGTTGAAATTGTCAGATCATAGCTAGGGATAATGAGTTTTGATTTTCCACATAGCTCTTAAATGAAAGGAATCCTTCTGTTGATTCATAATTTATAATAATGGTTAACACTGAGTGCTTACTATGAGCCTTACACTTTTCCAAGTATACTACCTTATATTTAACTTAAGAATTAACTCTTACAGTCACCAAGTGAGGAAGTTACTATCATTAACCTCATTTTGTATGTTACAAAGGAGGGAACCAACACGCAGAGAGGTTAAATAACTTGCCCAGGGTCATATGGCAAGTAAGTAGTAGAACGAGGATTCAGATATAGAAAATCTGATTCTAGAACCTTTGTTCTTAATCACTACACTATACTATCGTCCAGCAAGAAGCCTGACTACTTCCTAGAATGAACTGGCAGGTGGAAACTTAATGAAAACCAAAGCCATTACCATCAAATTGATTCCAGCTCATGGCAACCCTATGTGTTACAGAGGAGAACTGCTGCATGAGGTTGACTTGGCTGTAATCTTTACAGAAGCAGATCACCAGACCTTTCTTTCCTAGCACTCTGGGTGGGTTCAAACCATCACCTTTAAATTTGTAGTGATGGAAAACTTTGCAACACCCAAAGACCATGGTGCATTGCACATGAGTCCCAGAAACTTAAGCTTACTAGAGAACACTTTACTTCTTAAAATATTCCTTTCAGAGAAATACCCTGCCTCGTGGCTTAGCAGAGAACTCAAAAAAAAAAAAAAAAAAACCCACTTGAGTCGATTCCAACTCATAGCAGCAAAATAGAACTGCCCCATAGGGTTTCCTAGATTTATGGAAACACACTGCCTTGTCTTTCTCCTATGGAGCAGCTGGTAGGTTCAAACTGCCAACCTTTTGGTTAGCAACTAAAGGCTTTAACCACTGTGCCACCAGAGCTACTTCTTAGCAGAGAAGTTTGGGCTTATCCCTTGTCTTCCTCAGAGGCTGAATGACTCTCCTCCCTTGGGCCCAGGTCTCTTCAGTTACTACTTTGCACTCATGGTATAATTCTGTGCTCATGGTACACTCCATTTCTGCCCATGTGTGCTATCATGGTTGCCCTCTGCAGGCAGTGGTTCTCCATCTGTGTTTACCACTGTCTCTTGCTTCAAGGTACTCAGACCAGGTGAAGGGTGAAATTGAGTCAGACTTTCAGAATATCAGGGCTCTAAGTCTTTTCTCAACCTCGTGAATATAGAGGCAGAAAAGGTGGCCCAAGTTGCAGAAATCACCTATGGGCAGAAGGTGATGGAGAAGGAGACGGAGAAGAAGATTTCAGAAATTGAAGGTGAGCAGAAGTGAAGTTAATGCCTGAGTTTTCCTCAGATTCCACTTGTGGCAAGTGGGTGGGAGAGTCATTTCCTTTGCTCTTTAATTTTTGCCCTAGAATGTTATGATTTCTTTGGAACATCATCATTTTCTCTGCTTAGACTTGAGTTCTGAGGAAATTTTGGCCAGGCTAGCATCAGTTTTCCATTTCAGAGAGTTGAATTCATTTCAGCAAATGCTAGCTGAGTGCCATTATGTGCAAGGCATTTTGTTAGCCACAAGAGAAAGGAAAATCAGATAGTCCCTGCTGTCTTGGTGTTCACAGTCTAGCAGAGGCCCCAGTGCACTGGAAGTAAATTGTGGAGCTGGGTCAAAACAGCAGCTCTCTCCTTCATGCCCTACACCTTCCTCCTCAGCCACTATATTTTTGAGTTTTCAATCTTCTCTGTGTAGATATTAGCATGGTTTGAAGAAGACACCTTTTCAGCACTACCAACAGTACAGCTGGAAAGATGTGTTATCTTTGCTGACTTTTGAATACCATTCTCCTTCAGGACCCTGCCCCTAAGCCCTCACCTCATTCCCACCACCCACCTTTTAGTTCATGGTGGTGCCTGTGTCAAGTAAATTCCAGGACAAAAATGGGATCTCAGGACTCAGCTTCAAGCTACAAGGTGCTGTGTCCCACTACATCTACTCTTCACTTACTAGCTATCTCGTTATTTGCATTTACAACAACTTTGAAAAAATTCTCAGGTGGTACCTCCAAAGATCTGGGCTGTGGCTGGGGCAAGGTACGTTCCATGGGCCGTCCTAATGCTACATCAGAGGCCCTGGCAGTATTCGGGCCACACGAGGGGCATGCGTTCTTCTGTTTGTCTGCAATGTCTTGATCTTGGCTCAGGGTGAAAGGGACACCACAAGATAGTGGGCCAACAGGGTAAGGCTGAGCAAGGACCTAAGGATGCCAGGGAGGTCAGTGGGAAAGGCAGGAAGTAGGGAGAGGAAAGGGAGCCATATAAGGCTGCAGGACTGGGACAGACAGAGGACTACTGGGGTTCCTGCCAAGGGCAGGCAGTGGAAAACCATCCAACCACCACCACTACCACCCCAAGCCCCCTGGGCTCCGTGGTGGTGGGAAGGCACGGTGGGGAATGGGGGCTCACTGTGCTACATGTGTCCCAAGACATGCCATCAGTGCTCAATGGGTAGTTTGCAATTGGGATGGGAGACACCAGCATTGAAGATAGGGACAGCCCCCGACTTTTGATAAGTGAGGAGTAGGAATATGCTCATTATGGGGCCTGACAGGCTTTGCAGGGACCTATTGAAGAGCCAATTAGGATTTCACAAATCATTGGCTCTTCATTAGGGATCGTTCAGCTGAACAACACATTTTACTTCTTATAAATACATGTCACCAGGTGGTAAGGCCAACTAAGCCAAATGCATGACAGCCAGGCCCAGCCAGACTACAGGCTCCCCACACTTCATCTCCCTCCATCCCAGGGTCATGCTGAAGGCATGCAGTGAGAACCCATCCACAGACTGATCTTTCTTCCCAGGCTTTTTGCTATAAATATTACTCGCATGAAGCTGGCCACATTCCCAAGACAAGGAAGGAAATATCAAAAATGTTGTATCTGCTTGACAGAAAGCTAGTCTCAGAGCAGATTGGGGAAGTATATTGCTTGCATTGTAGAAGCTTAGATAGGTTTTAATCTAAACGTGTTGGTCTGGACCATGGCATATAATTCTCTATCAGAGTTACACCAGCTTACCCAGTGTTAATTAGGGACTATTTGAAATGATTAATGGAAATAAAAGGAAAGCAGAGTTGGAGAGGTACTGAGCTATTTATGTTTATTTGTGGCCCCTGGTATTCCATTTTAGGGGAGATATGTCCCTGGCCTGTCTTTGGGCCTGTCTTGTTTTTCCTTTATACACGAGAAGGACAAGAAGTAGTAAGTTGTGGAACTGGAGGTTGAGACAGGTCCTACCTGTTTGTTTCCCAAAGAAACAGTAGAAGATGTAGGCATATGGAAACTGGGTAGCACTGCTTCACCCCCACCCCCACCCCGAATAATGCTGTCAAAGTTTATGTTTAGGGGCACACCAGCAGACTTACCAATGACTAGTCCCCATCATGGGAAGATGCCTTCAAAGCACTTCCTCATTTTGGTTGATCCTTACAAAAATTTGTGGAATAGGCAAAAAATGCATTTGTTGTATTTTTTCTAGTTCCATTGATGAGGAAATCAAGCATAGAAGGGGGAAAAAAAGCAGCTTCCTCAAGGTCACACAGGCAATTAGGAGAAAATTAACAGGGAGCAGAATGTAGGTTATCTATAGCCTCTACACTCCTGTAAACCACTCTGTGTTGCTTTTCATCTTGTTCCTTGCATTCTTTCCCCTTTTAGATGCTGCATTTCTGGCCCGAGAGAAGGCAAAGGCTGATGCTGAGTGCTATACTGCTATGAAAATAGCCGAAGCAAATAAGGTAAAGGCCTAGTCTAGCCTGTTGAAGAGAAGATTTGAGTATGGGTTTATATCAGGTCTTTGAACTGGTTCAGCCAAGTTCAGTCATGGCCGACAAAGCAACAACAGAACAGACCTGAATTTTCAAAATGTGGGTGAACCAGAACACTAACTAAAATGGGAAAAAATGCAATTTGAAGTCCTGCTAGAAATTTAATCTCCCTCTTAGGAAACAAGGGCAGTGTGCATGTTCCATAACAACCAAATCTCTGGACTGGCTGAGTATAAAACAGTGGTGCCTGGCTCACAGGTGGAGGCCAACCACAGCACTTTGAGTGTGTCACTTTCCATAGTCCTGGCAATAATCCAGAACCACTCATTAGGTTCCTAAAAGGGCTCACTACAATTCTTCCATGTCTCCCATTCCAGGGCTTCGACCTGAAATTTTTCCCATTGCAGTTAATGTCCCAGATCACCCAATTTCACTTCATTGGTCATGACTGAACAGTTTGAAGCCCTGATTCATATTGCTTGAGACTCCCCAGGGTTGGATGACCATCACCACCCAGAGCCCCACGTGGCTAGAACTGATGACTGCTATGCTATATGGGACAGGTACTTCCCTTTTCTTTAACAGTACCTTGATAGGAGTTTAAGTTTTGTATTAAACACGGAAATTTCTAAAACTCTTGAAACTCTTGGCCTTGCAGATCTGATATTACATCCTCCTGGAGAAGTGATTGCTCTGTTATTAATGTAACAGATTAAGGAAAGTAGAGAGGAGCATATTTCTTTGACAGAGACCCTCTCCATGTGAAAATTGAAGGGTGCCACCAAAGATTGCTTGAATCTGGCTCCACCTAAATCATCTTTACTTTTTTTCTTTTTTAATAGCTGAAGCTGACCCCTGAATATCTGCAGCTGATGAAGTACAAGGCAATTGCTTCAAACAGCAAGATTTACTTTGGCAAAGACATCCCTAACATGTTTGTAGACTCTGCAGGCAGCCTGGGCAAGCAGTTTGAGGGGCTAGCTGATAAGCTGAGTTTTGACTTAGAAGAGGAACCCTTGGATGCAGCCACTGAGGGGAACTGAAAATGTTTTTATATAACCTCAGATGACACTTGAAGAAACCTTCATATTTTAATGATGAACCAGAATGCCCCCTCCTTCCCACACTACCTTCTTTGACTCTCTTCAAGGTACTGTGGTGGCAAAGAAAGAAATGGACTTAAATCTACTCCCCTTCCTGGTAAGGGAGAGTGGGAAATGATTATTTGGGATTTTATTCAGGTGAATAGGTTATTTAACTTCTGATAAGATTTGTAAACCATAGATTTGACCTTGGATCTCCAGACACTGATATTAACCCTTACTTAGGGAAGTGACTTTAAGTTAGAGTTGAGGAAATACAGGATGCTGCCTCCAGATGATTTGATTTCCCTTATTTGGGGAACTGTGGTCCAATTTTTCTCACCCCTGCTTCTAAGGTGGGAGGTGTTTGTGGATGAACCTCAGCAACTGAGCAAATACATGCTTGTAAGTTTGCCAGCAGAAACAGCTGCAGAGAATATTTGGCTTTCCTGGCATTTTGTTCATGCATGTATGGGTTATTTTGGGGGCATGTGATCTTGAGCCCTCATAAGGAAGAACTGGTGCTAGGTCCTGTGAGGTTTTCTGTACACTACCCTTCTTGCCCTAGGGCTTAAAGAGGATGGTGGCTTCTGACTACATTTCCAGGGTCGTGTTTGGGCACTCCCACACAATTGTGTTTGAAACTTTTCACCTATTCTCTGATTTGTTTTTTTGTTTCTCAGTCTGTTTGCTGGTTCCAGTCAGCATCAAGAAGACAGGGATAAAAACTCAAGTGTCTTAATAGCTGCTGAAGGGGAATCATTATATCTATTAGCCATACCTGCCTGGCAGATTATGTATGTACGTTGAGATCAAGTTATCATTTGACTGTTGTAGAGATTCTGCATTGAAGAGGTCTGATAGCATGTAGGGAAGAGGAAGAAGGGTCACCCAAGAGATTTCCTAGTCTTACTGCCCATGGCTTGTGCTGGGTGTTAGATTTGTCTGATATAGTAATAAAAGTGAGCCCTTACCACAAATAGCATGTGTTTTTTAATCCAAAATTCTCAGAGGCCACACTGGGGTCAGACTGAATGTTAAATCTCTAGAGACAGCTATGTGAATGCAAGCCCAAGTTCATACACAAGTCCCTGGGTTGGAATGGCTGCATCGAAATTAATTTTTTTTTTTTTTTGGACTTGAGTACAAACTTGAGCCACACTAGGAGATTCATGTGGGGGAGAACAAGCATGGGGATTGTTATATCCTAAAGTGGGTGCTGGAGGAGGAAGCCATTCTAGCCCATGAGTTGTGTTAGGTGGAGGGCAACTACTTGGAACTAACTTGCAAGCATATTGGTACTATCCATGAGCAGCTCTGGCTTAGGTTTTGCCTTGTTATTAGCTGCCCTCTCCCACTATACCCCTCTTCCTTGAGTGAATATTACAAATGATACTTGCTGGCGCAGATCCCCACCTCATATTTGGTCCAGATTTCTGGCTTATGGAATGGCTGCTTCTCAAGCCAGAACTCAGGCAATCTTGCTTCTAAGTAGTACCAAGCAGGCAATCTTGCTTCTAAGTAGTACCAAGCTTGACAGGAATTTGGGGAGCATCCAGCCTACCTAGGAAGGTACAGACCATTAACTCCCCTTACTTCAAATATTGCCCTTTTCAGTTTTAATATCTGGAATGCAGAATTCTCAAACTGCTGGTCCTGGTGACACTTTATGCAGGCATCAAAATGTTCCTGGGGAATGACAGATTTCACTGTGCTCAAGAGTTCTTAACAGAAGATAGTCAGTCTTCCAAAACCAGTATAGGGTGCCCATATTAAGATACACTCATTTCCTCCCATTGCAGTACCACTGGTCACTTGTTAAGAGCAGTGTAGCATCCCTGACTTATGTTTGTTTGTTCCTCTGCTCTGGTCTCTTGCTGCTTGGGCTTCAGAAAACACTACTTCACTACAGTAGAATTAGGAGCAGGGATATCTCAGCCACTCTGAATAGCACGTTTTGCTCAGGTTCTTAATTTGAAAGTCTCTCTAGTACTAATATCCTATGACAGCTTGTCCTTTGCACTAGATACACGTTGACCACAAAAAAACCTCAGTAGCATAAACTCCTGCTGCAACTGCCCCAGCCCTTTCCCTCAGTGTTACTGTCACTTCTTCTTCAAATGAAAAATATCAATGTTGTATGCATTGTCTTAAACCCAATGGTTTAAGAAAAGTAAAATCACAGAATTTAACTGTTTCCTCAGCATGGGACAATTAACTCATCTGTCTGCTGTGTCTTTGTTTTTTTAAACACTTACTAGAAAATCTGATCTTAAAACATTTCAATTCTAAACATGTAAACTGTGACAGCCTGCAATTTTGTGGGCAGTAAAGTCATGGCTGCTATTTATAAATGGAACACCTGTCAAAATAAGTAACTGTTTATAAAATTCAGTTTTTGTAGGATTTTCCAAGGAAAAGTCACTTTGGTTGAATGTTTCTCACTCATTAAACTTTGCAGAAATGATTCATATTCAGTACTGTTTTTAATCACTTTTTTAATATGAGGACAGAATGTTTGCAAGGAAGCCAAAGTTTGTTAATAGTTTTTGTATGACTAAAGTAGAATAGATTTAGAATCCTATCATCATATTAAGTTGAGGGGGGAAAAATCACTGAAAGAATCTTAGCATTGTATTAATCAAAAAAAAAAAAAAAAAAGATGCTTTATAAATGTTCTGTAGTAATTTTTATGAGTCTGTGTCTTTCCACACTGATCACTTTACCATTTATAGAGAGTAAATAGTAAAAGTAAAATGATCATATTTACTGACTTAAGCACTCAAGTTTTGCTTAGGGTAAACTGTATGTTGGCTAGTGTATGCTCTGTGTCTGTGAACTTAAGCACTACTTCTAAGTTCTATCCAGTGGAGTTCTGGTAACTCTGTTATTTCCTTATAAAGAGGTAATCGCCAATCATTTTATGTTTGTATTACCATTCTCTTTTATTATGGCTTCTGTGTAGGCTGGTGATTGAATAGTCAAACTATTTCTACTTCAAAGAGCCCTGAGGGCTTCATAACCCCCTTTGTAACTGAGAAATTATTATTGTTTTATTAATCATTCTATAAATGATACTTATGGAGTAATTCCTTGAGTGTTAGCTGAAAGAATTGTTTTGGACAACACTAAAGGTCTCATGTGAATTTATGTCTTAGTTTTCTTTCCATTTTTATTAAATAAAATGAGTCTTTGTATTTACTTTTTTACTAAAGTGAACTTTAGTTATAGCAAATATTAAGATAGGTAACATTTAAAAATATAAATCCTTTCTTAGTAATATAAATACATGATCTCTCTAAAATCTCATTCAGATGAAAATCTATCCCCGTTCTCAACACAGAAACAATGAGCACCTAATTTGTGAACATGGCAAAATTCTTGGTAGACACTATAGAGATTTATCATTTTGAAGAATTCATATACCTCTGCAGTTTTACTCCAAAGGGCAGAAATATTTTCAGTTGTCCCAAAACTCCCTTTTATATCAATTAAGTGGAGAAGACTCAGTCTCTACTCTGAAAAACCAGTCAAACCAGTCACCTGTGTTTACCAGATAAAATACAGGATGCCTTGTTAAATTTGAATTTCAGATAAACTATAAATAATATTTAATATAAGTATGTCCCAAATAGGACATACTTAAGCTAAAAACTTGTTTATATGAAATTCAAATTTAACTGAATGTCCTGGATTTTTATTGCTAAATCTGGCAACTGTGGCCCAGCCCTTTCTCAGCTTATTTTATGATGTTCTCAAACTTTTTTCTATTAATTTGAGGCTGCTATGCAAACAGTATGACCTTACAATTATAAATGTAACTTAAGAATGTAGTTACTGGAGTTAGCCTACCTTGGTTCAAATACCTGACCTACTACCTTCTAACTGTGTGGTCTTGAATGAGTTCTTTAATGTCTTTCAGCCTCAGTTTCTTCATCTATAAAGTGGGTTGTGTGGATTAAATAATACATGTAAAGGGTTTACCACTGTGCCTAATATGTATAACTAAAATACATAAAATATAACTTATTTTCAGTCAACTGGAAAAACAGAAAACACACAACTATTAAGTGGGCACCACTAACTAAAAAGTCAAAAACATGTCATAAAATAGAATTACAGAAAGGGCAGTGCTGAAAGGAGGAAACTAGCATTACAATGCAGCAGACTTGAGACCTCTACAGAAACATAGTGTGTAGAAGAGAACTATAATCCAGTGTGCTTGGCAATGCTTATGCCCTATTGAAAGGAACTGTCCAGTTCTAGGCTTCACTTAAAAAAAAAAAAAGACTTGAAGAGGCTAGATAGAAAATAAAATGTTAAAAAGAAAATAGTTTAAAATTCATAGCTTGACTCCAGAAAAGTCAGGAAGGAATTTTAACAACTTCATGATTATAAGTTACCTAAAGGGAGTTCTGGTGGCATAGTGCCTAAGGCATTTGACTGCTAGAAGGCTGGCAGTTCAAACCCATCAGCCACTCCTTGGGAGGAAAATTGGGCAATCTACTTCCATAGAGATACCACCTGGGAAGCCCAAGGAGGGGTCACTATGAGTCAGAAACGACTCCACAGCAGTGAGTTTGGTTTGGTCTTTTTTTTTTAAATGGTCAACTAGGAGCTCTGGTGGCATAGCGCCTAAGGCATTTGACTGCTAACCAGAAGGCTGGTAGTTCAAACCCACCAGCCACTTCTCAGAAGGAAGACTGGGCAATCTGCTACTGTAGAGATACCGCCTCAGAAACCCAAGGAGGGTTCACTATGCGTCAGAATCAGCTTAACTGCAGTGAGTTTGGTTTTTTGGTTTAATGGTCATCTTGCTCTCAAGCACAACAAGGACCCATGAAGAGGAAGTTGACTTGTAGAACAGAGTATTTTAAAAGAATTTACTGAAGACTGGCAAAAATTTGAATTGGGGGAGAAATAATTATCTACAAATAGAAAATAAATAAACCCAGGGATTAGCATGGATAACATTTTCTTTTCTGATTGCTGGTCTTCAGAAATTGAGATGCCTCTGTGCTGTCTTGGATGGTCATTCTGTCTATTTGGAAGCTTAAGTAATCTCTAAAGGCCCTCCCCAGTTCTAGAGTTCTAGAATTATATTGATGTTTCAAAAGCCAAAAGTGACAGCATGTTTGCTGAGAGGTCACTGTCATGGCTACTCTACCTGAATTTGTTTAAACTGGAACACAGAAATTCTTTCTCCATTTCTCTTTGGATCCAGGTAACCAGGCAACGGTAATTTTTTTATTATTTTATTCTCCCAAAATAATCACAGTAGGATCAGAAGGAAACAATTTTAAAATCTTTATGCCACTCCTCGGAAGGAAGGTTGGGCAATCCTACTTCCGTAGTGATACTGCCTCGGAAACCCAAGGAGGGGTCGCTATGAGTCGGGGCCGACTCGACGGTACATAACAATAACAATGCTTTCCTTATAACTCAGGCCTTTAG